CACACACACTAGCTCGAAACGGAATCGTAAATTACCCGGAACTCTCTTTATTCAAATTCAATCCCGCAGGCTTTCACTGCCAGGCTTATATACTAAATAAGAGGGCGTCCTGAACAAACTCGGTCTTCCCCGATAATTCATGATCATTCGAGAAATTCATCACGTGTTACCAACGTCACGTGACTTCGCTGTCGTAACAATGTGTTTTGTATTTTAACATTTCATATCTTATTTATTAAAATTGAGCCATTTATAAAATTTAACTGGTAATAATTGCGCTAAACTGTGGCTTTGAAATGGATTATGACACATAATACACCGAACACAAGTCGTATATTTTACTCATATAAATGAACAAACTACCTAACACATAACATTCACGTTCAACTATTATTGTAACAGATTATTTGCAAGAAACTTGAAGGTGTCAGAACATAATTGAGTGTAAATGTTTTAAACTTTGTTTGATGAACTATTTAAATTATATATTTGCAAAACTGATCTCGATTGCATATTGTATGCATAGTAGGCCTTAGAAAAATATTGAATGCTTTGTCTCCGCTTCTGTTTCTCAAAAATAAGTCATTCACATTAAGTTTTTTCCTTACGCCTCTCATTAAAAAAAAAAAAGAGATGAATGGTAATCAATGACAATAAATATCAAATTATCGATTTCACGATCAGAAAAACCCCACAACTTGGCATAATGATTATTTTTGAATATCAGCAAGTATAGGCTGGTGGGTTTCTAGAAGATTATTCTTCTGACGGAAGGTGTAACAAATTGTGAGGTGTTGTAGGAATGATAATAGGACTAAAGCACTGGTGTTGAATAAATGATGATTAATAGGAAATATAATAAGTTAATACGTTTTATATAAGGTATGCTGGTTGAAGAATAGTTATATTTATGAAAATAAATTTATTTTAACACTGAAAATAGTTTTAATAACAATTGTGTCCTTTTATTTACCTCTAGTTACGTCACAGAGTACGAATCATGAACGGAAGATTGTTTGTTTGTTATAGATTTCGCGCAAAGCTACACGAGGGCTATCTGCGCTAGCCGTCCCTAATTTAGCAGTGTAAGACCAGAGGGAAGGCCACCCTTCCACCCACCACCAACTTTTGGGCTACTCTTTTACCAACGAATAATGGGATTGACCGTCACATTATAACGCCCACACGGCTGAAAGGGCGAGCATGTTTGGTGTGATGGGGATTCAAACCCGCGACCCGCAGATTGCGAGTCGAGCACCCTAACCACCTGCCCATGCCGGGCCTATGAACGGAAGAAGAAAAGAGCTTGCTGTGATTAGTTTAGGATTAAGTGAGGTTAGTGTTAGGTGTAACTGCAAAGAGAACAAAATTCGGTAATTCTGATATGTGATGAAAATGATATAAACAGCAGTAAGAATTCAGTATGGTGCTTAGTTTGAACAACGTAAATAAGATAAATAATTAAAGTCGTTTATTATAAAAATAGTATGATTGCAAGTTAAACTGAAAATTCTGAATGTTGTAAAAAACATATTGCAAAAAAAAACACAAAAGCGAAACAAAATCATAATATGAACTCAATTTAGACTAAAAATATTACGCATATATTACGTGAAAGGACTGTCTGAAATAAAATATTTAAATGAGTAAAATAAGACGAGAATTTACATGCACTACGTGTCTGTCGACGCTCTATTTTGACAGAGTACACTAAAAAACCATATATTCTTAACACCATATTTGGCTATACTGTGAAAAATATAGACTGAAGTTCGTTACAGGAATAACAACGACAAGGAAAAGCAAAGTATTTGTTAATAAGAAGTTAGGAGTAGAAAAAAAACAGTCGCTTTTTGTAGTTGATAGAGAGCTGAAACTTTGAAGGTGGTGTTGATTCAGTCTAATCTAAAATATTTACATTTTCAACAACATATCTTACTATGTAGATCAGTTATACCGACGAAAACAAGCATGACATAAAATATCGAACATGTCCCAATTTATCGAACATTAAAAGATACACTAGTTGTAATATGTGACATATTAAGATTGGATCTTAAAATTTTCAACAGGCATTAAGTTTGAGTGAAAATACCTCACTCTTTTATCTTTGATAATATAGCTCGTTTCAAGAAATAACTATAGAGGACCGAACAAAGAATGTAGAGTTTACAAATACAATAAGCCTAATCTGTACAAACGTTTGTGTGTTTTTTAGTGTTGGTCAAAAATATCCTTGATTTTCGAAGTTCTCAATCGCACGTCGACTGTTCTGTAGGGTTAATTATCGTTTATAGATGTTTTCCCAATGATCATAATCCTGCTTGGCCAGTAAAAGACGCTCATAGAACTTGTTTGCGGTTTGTTTGTTATTAATAATTATGACTGTTTGTTATTCATTGTAATTATGAGTGTAGAACTTCAGTAGTTCTTCTAGCAGAAGCTATTACATAATTATATAAATAACGTTCCGACCTTTACCATGTTTGTTGTATGCCGGCTTCCTGGTGGGCTCTGTTCTG